CAAATCTATCATACAGACGGGTAAAGATAAGTCATATAACCCACAGACAAAAGGGCCGTCTCTAAGCTGTTTAATGCTTTACATGTAGCTAGAATCCACTATAAATAAATTTTGTATACCATTGTATGGCTATTTGCATGTAAAGCAGTTATAGAAAAAACTGAAGACCATTTGGTTAGAGCAGCTATGAAACGGTAGCTTGTGTAAGAAATACATGTAATGACCCGGAGGGCCTGGAGATTGTTTATATGCAAATTGCTCCTTAAAAACTATTTTGTTCACTGATTCGCATGTAAATCACAAATTTAGAAAGGAAATACCATATAATTCGTATGTAAATGACAAATTTAGAAAGGAAATACCACATAAATAAAACAAATACTAAATTTATGTTTGGTACGTATTATTAAAGCATCCTTTTATTAAATTTCATATAAATCAAAACCACTAGAGAACCAAAACAACTATTTTAAATGAAAAATGCTACAAAACCAAACCAAATCATTACTGCTATATTGCCTCACCATTACCCTGAGATGTTCAAAATATACAAAGATGTTCAAATTATGCATAGTTCCCTGTTATTTCTCACACGCACGTGCGTTGGAGATGGCCAAGCATCACATCCAACACTCCAGCGCGTACGTCGCTTGTTGCTGCTCCGGCCTCCGGGCGATGCAGTTCGAAGCTCGTGTCCCTCGTTGGCATTTCGTCGAACATGCTGCGAGCGGACACGAGATCACCGGCTCTGACGCAGAGAAACGGGACTCACCGAAGCGTTGCGGGCATGCGTGCAGAGAAACGGGACCTGGGTCATCAGCGCAGATGCGTCATCAGTAGTTTCCTCGCGAGCGGTTGGGGGCGTCGGGCATGGCGACGCCGCTGCACTCGCGTCCGCGCACGCCGGTGGTGGACGACCAGCTCCCCCGCAGAGCACGCCGGGGGAGGAGGACCAGCTGCACTCGTGTCCGTGATCGCCGGTGGTGGAGGACCAGCTCGCGCCCGCGGCGACGGAGCTCCGAGGAGGCAGAGCACACCCGCGACGGTGCTTGGCCATGCCCGCCGCTGGGCAGGGGTCGGAGCCGCGCCTGCTTCTCGACGGGGTAGCCAGAGAGGGAGGGGACGCAGGGTCACCGGAGCCGAGCGCGGGAGGGGCCGCGGGGTCGCCGGAGCGTCGCCACCGCCCGGAGAGGGAGGAGCGGCGCCGCCTAGACGCTAGACGAGAGGCGCTCGCGACGGGAAGATGTCACGGATGGGGAAGAAAGAAAGAACGAACGAACCGGCGCGAAGGTACACGGGATCCGCGCGCCATCGAGTCTTCGTACAACGCTGCTGGAGCCGGCGTCTCGGCCTCGGGCCACGAGTCGTTCCCGTCGCCTCGCGAGACGACGAGGCCTCCGTCTTCTGGTGTCGGCGGGGTTCGTTTTGCAAAAAATACATCACGGAGACGGGTCGAAGAGACGCGTTGTACATGCCCTAAGACTGTCTCCAACGGCTTACGCAAACGGCGACGCAAACCAAAAATGGGTAATCCACAGTGTTTTACGTGAGGAAAACCGGCTCCAACAGAACAGGCAAATAGATCACGCATTTTGGGTAGAAGACCACCCGAGACGCTTATTTGCGTCGGTCTTTCTCCAAGACGCAGCCTTCGCCAGCGAGGCGGGCCCGACGACAACGATGACGGCGAGGCGGGGAGGGAGGGGGGCGGCGCTCACCGGATCTCGCAGGGAGGGAGGGAGGTCGTGCAGGGGAGGGAGCCCGGCCGACGCAGCCACGCCGCGCAGCCGCGACGTCCCCCCCGCGCCAGATCGGGCCACTCCGACGTCCGCGCGCACGGAGTCACCGGAGGAAGACGCAGCAGGTGTCGGGGCTCCTGTCGGCGACGGCGCCGAAGTGGAGGTGGTGGCGCGTCCACCTGAGCGGGACCCGCGGCCATGCCCCGCGGCCGGGGGCGACGGTGGTGCGGCCTCCTCGGGAGCGGGCGAGGCGTCGGTGGTCGCGGGCTCGGAGCCGACGGAGGGGGAGGACGAATCCGCGGTCGCGGGCTCGGAGCCGACAGAGGGGGAGGAGGGAGCCGCGTCCGCTGGGGCTCCGGCCATCGGCAGCGGCGCATCCTCCAGATGCGGACCCGCTGCCTGAGGGACCGACGGAAGCGGGAGGGAGGGAGGTGGGCTGTTGGAAGGAAGGGAATGGGTGAGTGACTTATTTACTGTGCCGAACCCAAATACCATAATGGGTCACCGATTTGGGTATGGCCCGTTGGAGATAGTCTAAGCACACTGCGGAAGCGGCCGGCTGGACGAGACCGTACCAAGTACCATTCATCCGTACCGCGGTGCATGAAGCGGTGCAGGGACACGGTCGGTGGTCGCATGAATAGTACAGGGGATCAACCGGTTTGCGTGTCGCCGCGTCAGCATGCACGAGCCTTTCACCAAGCGGCCCCATAGTTCGCGACTTCGCGGTGTGCCTCAGCCTGGGCGTTTTTTCACCGAAAACCGAACCGAAAAGTCGGTAGTTCGGTTTTTCGGTTCGGTTTCGGTTTTCAGTTCTGTGAAGTTCGGTGTTCGGCTTCGGCTTCGGCTTCGGTTTCTATGCCCATACCGAACCGAAATACCGAATAAACCGAAAAGTCTGGAACCTGTTTTTTTTCCCTGTTGTTTATCAAAACTGATGGAGTACTGTGGTTTTTTATCAAGAATGAACTGCAAATTTGTAATATTTGATTTGAGCATTGAATTGTTAAGTTTGTAACAGTCTTGAGTCTTCAAATAATGTCTGTTGTTCTAAATCCTGTCAAGAATGAACTGTTGTCAGTTCTAAATCCTGTCTGTTGTTTTCTTGCATCGGTTTATTCGGTTTTAACCAAAAAACCGAACTAAAAAACCGAACCGAAGTAGTCCGGTTTTTGGAATTTCAGCAAACCGATCGGGGGTCATTTTCTGGAAACCGAAATTTTGAAAAAACCGAAAAACCGAACCGAACCGTCGGTTAAAACCGAACGCCCAGGCTGAGGTGTGCCGGTGTTTGTTTCTTCCTTCTCTACTGCTGCGGAATCGAAGGGTGCTGTCCCGCATCCGTTTCACCTTTTTCGCATGCATGGCAGAGCCCTGCTGTACTATAACGTGTTTGGGACCGCATATTCCGCGGTGACGGTGGAAAGAACCGAACAATCGCGTCAAACGTCCTGCGGCCGCGATGATTCTTTCAACCGCACTCGGTACGGGAGTTGCGAAAATGAACTAGCATCTCGCGGTGCTCGCGTTTACGACACCACGACTCAGAGCTCGCGGTGCCCATACCGCACCGCGCAGTCGACGACCGCAGTCCCGAACACGCGCCTAAGGCGGTCCAGTGTGCGAGGTGGACTGACTGAGCAGTCTGATGTACAGACACAGACTACAGCGCAGGACCACGACGATGTGTTGTTGATCCGATCCGCAGCATGCGTATTGTATGTTCAGCACGAGGATGGACAGGGCAGCGTCACCTAGCATGCGTATTGTATGTTCGGTTGGTAACCGCGTCTCACCAATTGCCAATTGGTCTGTGGTCAAATCTATGAAGCACCCGCGCGTACATACACGTGCCGTCAGAGTTGCTGAACCATCGCTTCTCTGACCAATGCAAATGTATGTACTTCGGCTTCGAAATCTTGGGCTCGATCAGTGGTAGTTAGCGACATAACAGTGATGATTAGGTTTGCAAATACGGCCATGAGAACGTGAGTGGTGGACTGTACGAATTTACGATGTGTCTTCTCCTTCGCGTTGATAGCAGCCCCGTCTTTCCAGTTCCTGTTGAAGGAGGACCTCGAAAAATAAACTAATGATTCATTAAGTGGCGATGAACTACTCCATCTGTTCAGCTGCAGTTTTGTTCGTTTGCAAGCAGCCTGGCCGGGTTGCGTTTCATATGACGCCGACAGCGACTGCGCGAGGTGACCTGAAGGATCGCGGCTCGCCGGCAGGTCGCAAGCGACATCGTCTCGGTCTGTTGGGCATCGGTCCCCTGGAGTTGCTCATGCGGTCATTTCATTGGTCATCGCACACATGCCTGCACGCCACGGATGCAACCCGCCCGGCCGCTCAATTCATGTTTCGAACATGCTTTAATTCATGAGTCCTTGACACTTCCACGACATTCTTATTTCGCAGGCAGAGGCAACAGCGTTTTGTTCGAACCCGTATGCCATGACGAGTGTCAACTGTCAACAAGAAGTGTACTAATTGTAGAGCTCTTCGTAGACTCATCAGACCTCTCGCATGCTAATTGCTACCGTGTTACCGTGCGCGTTACTACTGCACGACACGGCGGAGCAAGTTAGATTGCATTGCCTTCCGGCTGTGCTCGGCAGCGTGTCAAGTAGCATCTCTCCATATGTCTGTCCTGTTTCCACAATAGTTCAATCGACCGGCAGTATTTCTGCATGCGTTATGGAAAAAGGGTGCATGATTCTACAGAGAATATTGACAAGACTAGGAAATACGTACAATGCCAGCTTTCTGTCCAGAACCGAACATACGTGCGCATGTGCGTTCGTGAAACTTTGGTTTGAATCTTTGAACACCAATGCCATTCGTCCATTCTTAAAAAAAAAGATTAAAACTTGGAATCAGTACTCTCCTTTGCGTTCCACTTGTTCGGTTCAGTTGGACTGTAATCTTTGTGGACCCTCGCTGTTCTCCAAGCAAGCAAGTGGCCCAACTTGCGTTCCAGTACCAGGTACTTTCCCACGTGATCGCACCAGTTGGGCCCACGCTTCTACGACTCAACCGCACCCATGACCCAATTTGAGTTTCATGGGCCTGAACGAGTAAAAGTGTTCCTATCACGGCCCAGTACTACGTCTTTTATTTTTGCCCCAAACTCTCCCAACTAATGGTAGCCGCATGTTTGATGGTCACACTTTCTGTACAAGGCAAACTGGCAAGTGGCAACGACAAAGTCAGGAGAAACTAGTGGCTTTGCACACCGGCACGCTCGGAAAAAATCGCATGGCGTTGCAGCACGCCAGTCCAGCTAGCTCCACACTGACCACCGGCCGTCATGGCCGGAGCTCCGCAGCCGTCCTACGTCGGCCACCGACGGATTCCGGCAGCCGTCTGAGGGTGCACGCGCAGAAGCCCGCCGCGGGATCCCGTGGTGGCGCGGGAGCCGAGACGACCGCGACGTCGTCCTCGTCCCTCTCGGAGAATGCCGTCCTCAAGGCCGCCTGGTACGGCTCCGAGCTCCTCGGCATCGCCGCGTCGCTGTTCCGGCCCGCGCCGTCGTCTCCGGAGGGGGACGCTGGCGGTGGCGGTGACGTGGAGGGAGGCGCGGCGGCGGGGGCGGCCCAGTACCGCGCGGGAGTGGTCGACGCCGTCAAGGCGGACTTCGCGCGGTCCTACTTCGTCACAGGTCTGAATCTTCTCCGATGAGCTGACGAACGATTGGCTGGCATGCTTGGTAGAGCTTAGTTATCTGAGAACAGAACACGCGTATGCGTTTTCGGTTCGTTGCGCGCGCAGGGGATCTCACGCTGAGAGCTTACGAGGAGGACTGCGAGTTCGCCGATCCGGCGGGCTCGTTCAGAGGCCTGCGGCGATTCAAACGGAACTGCACCAATTTTGGGTCTCTGCTCGAGAAATCGAACATGAAGCTCACCAAATGGGAGGATCTGGAGGTACGTACGAACTGCATCTCCAGCAACCAAGTTGACTACTTTGTAAAATGCGGGCGATGTTAATTATTGGTGGTAAAAAACAAACAAGCAAAAATCCACTGATCGGTGCCGCTGCTCGTTGCATCAGGGTTGTAGGACAAGTCGATCGGGCACTGGCGTTTCAGCTGCGTCATGTCGTTCCCGTGGAGGCCTATCCTGTCAGGTGATTACAATATATTTCATGTCCGATTTGTACGTTGCAATGAATTGCTCAGTTCTCCGGCTGTTTATATATTTGCTCCTGCCCTGACATGTTGTTTACTGTCATCCCGCTGTTTCAGCAACCGGGTACACGGAATACTACTTCCCGCGCGTTCGGCTGGCTGGCCAGCGTTCTCTCAGAAAAACACTGTTGAACAGGCTGATGAACAGTGTTTTCAGCCAGACCAGTATTTTAGCTTATTTTTCAGTCCTGCCGAACAGGCTGAATCGGGGAAGGTGTGCAGGTACTGAAAACTTCGATACAGGTCTGTTAAGCGATCCTATTTAGGGCTCAGGAGCATCCAAGCATATTTGTAGCTAGTCGCACGGTGTTCTTATTCTATACGCGTATGTGGCGAGGACTGACAAGCCCCTCTTGTGAATCCAGGCACGTCGAAAATTGGAACGTTCCAAAGATGGCGCTCCTTCGGCAGATTTTCAGGCCGAGCCGATGGGTCTGGGAGAAGCGCTAAAGCCTGCAGGGGCCGTTGTTTTTATTTCGGTGCATCAGCAGCGGTAGCATACTTATGCTCCAAACCAAATGCATGTGCGTGTACGTACATTCGTAGAATACATACACTAGGAAGGACAGCTCATATAATTATTTATTATAGTATATAAAAATATGGATTTTGTATGGGCTTGGCCCATGTTACACAGACAGGGCCCATGTTACACAGCCCACGACGGCCCATATTCAGGAACCTTCGGCCGCATTTCTTCATGCGCTTGGCCCATGTTACACAGACAGGGCCTCCTAGGGTTTTCGTCTTTATAAGCAGAAGCTACGAAGCGGGGAGGCGTGGCCGCGTGGGCATTGCGGCGCTGGCCGCGGACTGCAATGGTGTGGTGGCTCGCTCTCTACCTCCTCCGTTTTGTTTCACTCAAAGCCGCCGAGGGGTCAATTAATCTCTCCCTCTCGATTTATTTGCGATGCTCGATTCCGTGGTACAGTTTTTATTCCTCTCTTCGCAGTTTCTGCCATTCATTTGGTTACCTCTTTCAGCTGTAAGGGCGTTCATGGTCAGATGATTAGAAATAACTGCAACAATATGATCCATGATCTGATTCCTAGTTTTAAGTCTCTGATGATCATCTACTGCCATTCCTAATGCTTCTCTTGTTGTCGTTTTTCCTTTTTGGTTTCATTTTTGAATCTTACTCTGCGTTATTGCTTCTGTTGTTGTCGTTTCCCTTTTTTTGTTTTCGTTTGTGAATCTGAATCTGCGCTGGATGTGATGAAGAAAAGATTGGTCCGTGTTTCTGACTTTTCAGTGACTGACAACCATCTCTATTTTCCTACTGATTCCAAACAGAAGTGCTTTGCTTCGAATGTTCACCTCATTGCGAATTGCAACTCTTCGAATGTTCACCTCATTGCGAATTGCAACTCTTCGAATGTTCACCTCATTGCGAATTGCAACTCTTCGAATGTTTACCTCATTGCGAATTGCGGTGATGAATTATGAATAAACTTCGCATGTCAGACTTCGGAGATGCTTCTGGCATCCATGAGAAGATCTTTCATATTACTGAGCAATGCACATATTCCTCGCAAAAAAACGAAAACAGTACAATCTTAAGTGTTTTAGCCTGGACGGACGTTTACATGTTTATGGAGTTTACTTATTATAAGGTTAATTATTATAAATAATAACGAACTTAACTTGGTGATGCACTGAATTTGAATATTTGTAGCTAGTATTAAACCAACGAATGTTAACCACATTAGTTTTAACTTCTAAACTACTGTAGTATGCAATCAGTTAAACGAGCAATGCTTTATCTGATGGGATTCGATGAGCTAGTTGATGCCTCTTCACGCCAAGAGAGCGACTGACAAGGCCATCCCGGCTGCCCTGCGCACCTCTGGCTCTGAGGCGGCGGGTAGGCGCCAGCAGGTTGGCAGATTGGAGTTCTCCTGCTGGTGTCGTCCAATCTTTCGTTGGGGTTATAAGGGTTAAAAAGCCTTTTCTCTTCACAGGATAAGAGATTTAAAAACGGGCGATACAACTACACATGCAGCTATATAAACAAACCCAAGAGGAAAACAACGATCCGGGCCTTCGCTTCATCGTGGTGCCATCCTCAATTCGTAGTCTGGACGTCTGGTTACCTGTCCTTGCATTGGGCAGATCAGCAGTGCCGCCACCGTCTTTAACAGACGTTAATCAGCTTCTTCTCTTCATCATAATAAAAATTGTTGAAACAGGAGGTCTTCTGATTGGTTTGAAAGGTTATTTTTTTATTTTCTAGAAATAATTAAAATATGGGTTGATTTAAAAATATAATTAATTGATTCTAGATTAAAAATTTGATGAAATTACTAACTTTTTGTTTCTTAAAATGCTATCTACATGTTTATAATCAATATACTAGGGATCCAAGTTTGCCCTAAGTTAAATTGTGTTAATTTTGACAAAATTTATAAAAAAAGATGAATAATAGTTACGACATTAAATTGGCATCATTAGATATGTTGTGAAATATATTTTTATAATTTACATCTTTGATGTCATATATGTTATAATACTCTTCTAGATACTTTTTTAAACTTTGTATAGTTTAACTTAGGATATACTTGGATTAGTTATTTAGAACTGGTTTCTTCTATTCATATTTTTTTATTGCATGAAGTCATGCTAATTATTTCAAATAATTCTAAACAGAGCACTAAAAGATAGAGCATATTTTTCAAAAAAATATTTATGTTTCTTTAAGGTCAAACTTGATTTATATTTTTCAGAAAATATAGAAAAATACATTTTAAACCAACCAGCTGACCAAATTTGTTCACTTTCAAAAGTTAGAGGGTATATCCGCTACTTGGTTTCCATAGTTAGGGCCTGTTTGGAACGGAGGAATACAAAACATAGGAATGGGAAAAAACGCAGGAACAAGAAAACACAGGAATTGAATGAATGGGTAAAACAGAGGATTGGAAAAACACAGGAATTTCATTGGAGTTGTGTTTGGAACACAGGAATTGAAATATCTCAGGAATTTGAGGAAGCTAGAAATAAATCTAAGTGCTTATACTAATGCACAGTGGAATCATGAAAGGTGGCTCTGGCGGCTCAAGTAGGTACTGCTAACGAGGCTCCTAGATCGCTATTAGCAAGTGATCAGGCCATCCTTCACGCGCAGAAAAATTTCCAAGGGATTCAAGTGGATGTTTCCTTTCCTTCATTTTGCGTAGGAAACGAAGCCTTTCTAGAGGAAAGGGACGCCCGGTTCCTGCAATCCAAACACATGGTGACGTAAGCAAAATGGAGGAATCTTGTTCCTTTGAAATTCCTATGGCAAAACTCCAATCCAAACAGGCCCTTAGAGGCTGAAAATCAGTGCAACTTAAAAGGCTGAATAATGTATTGTATCCTTTGGAAAACAAATGAACAAAACTTTCGAGACTTACTAAAATAACAGGTAGGATCTAGCACACAATTTCACTTGATTAAGTAATTAAGCTATCTTAAAAAAATAATTATTTCCTGTGGGAGTTTTTGAGCTAAATACATGAACCCCAAATTTGCCCAAAACACCCTATATTCAATTTTGGCCATGTTTTTACCCGATTGTTCTAATTTTCTTGTTTTCCTCCTATATATGGCCATGTTGTTCACTGGCTAACAGCCAAGAAACACCGTCCATCCCATGATGTTTGGTACGGGGCAGCTAGCGCCCGGGCGCTGCTCCAAGTCCCAGCCCGTGCATACGCGGGGTTTACTCGCACAGGCACAAACCGCCCTGCACTCCTTTGTTTACCGCGCCACTAATGCCATTTCATTTCCCGCACCGCTCCTTTACCGTGTCGCGTCCGCTCCAGTTACCACACGTACATAGGGCCCACCCATGCCTGTTCCGTTTCGCGCACGCAGGAATCCACGCGCCCGCCTATGGATGCACACCACAGATGCATCACTGTGACACATGGAGGTGCCCTAGCAGCCGGTGGGTCCTATTGCAACATGTGTAACACCAGATCTACTTTTACAACATCCAGATAAACACTTGCAACATATGTTCGAAACAACTAAAACACCTAAAACATACGTCTAAAATACTTTCAAAATACTTGAAAAGCCATTGCAAGTATATGGAACATCCAAATGAAACACTTACAACATACGTATGAAACAACAGAAACACTTGGAAACATACACTTCAAACATCCATATCTAATTCTGCAACATCCAGATGAAACACTTGAAACATACGTTTGAAAAACATCTAAAACATATGCTTGTAACATGAAACATACGCTTGCAACATGCATATATAGCCATTGCAGCATACGCAACATCTAGATGAAACACTTGAAAACATACGTTTGAAACACTTGAAACACGACGTCATCGGCGGCCACGGCCTACCTGGTGGGGAACTGTGGTAGCTAGCAAGCGGCGCTCGGGTGCGGTGGAGAGGTAGGACGGTAGCAGCTAGAGCGGTGGAGAACACCGCGCGCGGAGCAGTCGTCGTGGACCACGCCTCGTCGACGTGGAGAACTTGGTGGTAGGAGTGAGAGCGCCACCAGGTGAGTGGAGACGGTGGTGGTAGGAGCGGGAACACCACACACGCACGACGCGGCCGCATGTCCAGGAGCCGTGGCGCTAACTGCATGGTGGTCGAACCGTCCATCGTGGAAGCCATCGCCGGTGACAAGCTCGGTCGGGGTGCATCGAGTGGAGCTCCAGTGCGTACGACCATGGGTGAGGGCGGAGCGGAGCTCACTCAGCCACACTAGCTACGGCAGGCAACCACAGCTCGCCGCGCGGGAAGCTAAGAATCCGCTCAACAGCGGCGAACGACGGTGTGCATGCCTTGGCCATCAGCAATGTTGTACAACGAGGGTGGGCGGTGGTGGAAAAGTGAGATGAGAGGATAAGGTAGGAGAGAAATAATAAAGTAAGCATGAGTACGAAGGCATCCGAGCTTGCTCGTGGGTCCGCTGAGCATCCGATGCGTCTGAACGCACGGACACAACCATTACCGTATTTGGTATACCAAATGCTAGAATTACATGAAATTCATCTGGTGAAAAAAAAAAAGAATACAATTTTGTCCCATGAAATAAACATTTGATAATTCTATCCCAAAATCCATGTCTCATTCCTTTTGTTCTAAAACCAAGCGGATCCTAACACAAATCTGTCTTAAAGAGCATATTTATTTGGTTGAATATTCTAAAACTTCTTGTAACTGGCTCAACCATTCCACTAATTTTATTTGGAAAGGGTTATAGGAGGGGCACTTAGTTTTATTTGGAGGGGTTGTAAAAGGGACACATCGAAATATCGAATAGACCATGATAAAGTTACTTTTTAAACTGTTGTAGTTCGTTTACGTTTTAAACATAGGAAAAGAAACCTTTATTACTCTTTCAAGTCAGATATTAATTGTATATACAATATGTATGACTTTTCTGCGAATAAATAAATATCGATATAAACAGAGACGAGGTGGGTTTTTTTTTTTTTTTTTTTTTTTAAGAATCAAGTTAGGTTTAGATTTGGCTGTGATGGGAGAGGTGTGGGCCGGGCCTGGAAAATGCTACAGGCCTAAAGCTTGCGACCACCACCACCATTGCTCAACTGTCGCACATTCCGTTCTGGCAAGCAATCTTTCTGTTGTCCGGCTGAAATCAGTGGTCACTTTCAGACTTCAGTCTCAAGCTGTAAAAGAGTGCCTTTCGCTATACTGATATAAGACCAAGTAACTACACCATCTGGACTCCTAATGAGGGGTTTTCAAGCCTGTAATCGCAATGATTTTTTTTTTTGAAAGTTTAATCGCAAGGATTGAATGGCACATGCAGACTAGCTCCGGTTGTCAGTTGCAGCGAAGTTTATGAAGGCATCAGCGGCTTGCTACCCATAAATATGAGTGAAAAATGAGGCAATTAGGAGCAAGTTTAAACATCAATGGCCTACAGTATCAAAGTAGGGTAAGTTGGCTCTCTGAAGAGTTGCTGTCCTGCCCTGTCACACTAGCTAGTCATGATTCATAATACTTGTGATTTGGACATGCATACTGTTCGTGATTCAATGCTATGGTTTAGTTTAGTCTCTGTCCTGGTAGTGTACGCTCAACTAATCAACTCAGTGCACTGTTCAGAAATAGTTCTGTTGGCAAGACCATGCACCAACCGAGCGAAATTGCAGCGTTTTACTAGGAACTAATGGGTGTGGCCAAGGGTTTCCACCAACCCTTTTTATTTCAAATTTTCAATTGTTAGTACTTCCTCTAATATTTATAACATCAAATAAGCACATTATGAAAACATTGTTAGAAAGATAGGCATTTTTATGGTCAATTTAATCCATAAATAAAACATCAGCAGGTTCGTGACGACATATATGTGTATGTGTATGCGTATATCTCTAACAAACGCTACAGCATGCAAATATGATATACTGATCGATACAGTAAGTACGCAAAGTACTGTAATCACATAGATAAGTGTGTACCCAGCG